AAAAGAAAAAACTCTTTTGATCAGAGTGCATAGTCTGCTGAAATGCACCTCTGCCTGTAACTTTAACTTTTTACATCTTTATCTGGGCAGCTTTGTTCCTTCTAGGAAAATGTACCCGTTCTAGGGAATTGTATCCATTCAAGGGAGAGAATGAGTATTCCAGAAAAAGGAACAGTCTGCCCCAAAGATATACTGAAGTTTCCACTACTTCATGCAAAAACTAGAAAACTTGCTCAGAATCCTAAAGGACATCTTATCCTTTCTAACAGTCCATTTTCTCCTTGACTAAACCATTTCCAGAGAATTCTATGATTTCTGCATAGGTTCTTCTTAGAGCAGCAGTTCTAAACTGAAGTCCACGGATGAGCTATAAAGAAAAAGTATGAGAATCCATGAAATTGTGGGTAATAGCATGATCTTGGATTTTCTAGTTCTCTAAGCACCAATTTACTCATCTATAAAGTGGGGTTTATAATGGTATTGTCTCAATAGGATTGCTGTGAGGATTAAGTGGGATAATTAAATAGATGTAAAAAGGCTAGCACAGTGCCTGGTAGACAGTTACTTTAATATTAAGATAAAGGCAGTAATACCTAGAGCAACAAGCAGAAGAGGGGATTAAACCAAATGTAGTATACTTTTAAAGCATTTGTGGAAGAATAGGAATAGTAGGGCATCAGCTCCAAGTATAGGATGCCTTTGTTTCAACATCCTGAAGTTGCTGTGTATGACAGGGACTAAGACTGTGTTCTTTATGATACCCTCCCACCCTACCCGGCCCAATCCATGTCAGGGTAATTGCTGGAAATGTGGTCGGAACCAACCAGATGTCCAGTCTTTTCAAGCCTTATTCTGATAGTTTAAACAAATTCCTTAAACAATTCTCAGTTCTCTTGAATACGACTGCTCAGTTTTTTGGCCTCTTCCTCCATGTGCTTCTCTAATATAAGAGTCCAGTGTGTGTGATGTTCTGGCATGTAGTTTTTATTGCATCGTATGGAGTTAAGCTGGTCCTTGGATATGACTGGCTGGAATCTGCTCTCTCTCATCCTCCTTTCCCTGCTGGCTCCTGACGATAAAGCCTAGGGCTTATAGTTTATAACTTAGTCCTCGCTTTCAACTTAGAGCGTGGAGGTGCTTTGGCTTCAGCTCATCTCCTAAAGGCATTGTAAATCCCTCTCGAGAGAACTAGGTCTCCCATCTAGCTTGCTAGCCCAGTGGCCTGCCCTTACCTTCAGTCTGAGAGTCACTTCCCCATGATAACCAACCCTTATTGGTTCTCAACTCAGAATCCTCATCACCCGAGGCTGAGGAGTCCAGTTAGTGTCTCCTGATCATACTTCTCTGTTCTTTCAGCGAGGCTGGGCAGACCCATGTGGGTATGGGGCCTCTGCACTGCAGTCTTCATTCTCTCCTTCTGCCCTCAGTGATACCTTTACTTATCATCCCCTTTCTGGACCAAGACTCTGAGAGAGAAAAGTTGGGATGTGCATCCGTTACTGTCTCTTTTCTTCTTCCCACCATTCCCAGGGCTGGAAAATGGTTGGCTTTGCTTTTACTTCCTTTGTATCAGTACTTCTGAAGTGACCTATGGAGAAGGTACAGTTTTCATTTTATTATTAATTTGTCACAGCCCATATTTTTGTAAAATAAGAACTAGTAGAAAAATGAAATAAAAAATTAAAATACACAATAGAAGTCCATCTTTTAATGGTTAGATTCAACAGACATAAAATTATTCTGTTAAGTTGTTATAAAAGTTTCTAAACACTTTGAATTTCTGTACTTACCCATCATGGACCAGTACGAGTAGCAATGCAGACCAGCCCATTTTGAATTCATGCCCTCCTTCCTGATTCCTGCTAAGCTGTGGTGCTGGACAGTAGCATTGTCTCTAAACCCCAGGAGAGCACATGGGGCCTTTTCACTTGACTCTTTTAAGATGTGGATGGAAACTAAGGGAATTTGGAAACTACTATTCACAGGACCAAGATCTGTCTTGAAAGGCTGGCTAGTCTCATGATGTAAAATCTGATTTTTGAATGCCAGGATCTGAATATTACTTTTCTTTTTATATTTCTACTGTTATAAATTCTAATATCCCCATTGCAGATGGGTGCTCTGGGTGGACTATCTGAAGGTGACGAACTCAGAAAGGAAGAAGAGAAAGCAGGTTTAAACTTTTCAGACTCTTACCCCTGTTACGCTAATTTGTAAAACTGTCAGAGAAGGAAAAAAATACCTAGTTTTGTTAGTAAGTCTTGATTTTGGCTGTGAGACTTTATTGCTTCAGTGAGGGATTAAGATTATTTTCTTCTCAAATAGCCCCAACCTTCATTGACTCATTTTCTTTTCTTTTTGCAACCAAGAAAGTAAATGTTAAGAAAATGGTTATCTGCATAAATATTTAATGATAGCCATGTAGTAAAAACAATAAGGTGTTTTAAATTTCTGTTTTCTACAGGAACTACAGTTAAAAACAGAACAGAAAGAAGGTCTAAAACTGAAAGCTGAGGACCTTGATGCATTTAAGATGAGGAGAAAAGGCCCATTTGGAAGTTTAGACCAACTTCAGGTTTGTCAATTCTATTTAGTGTTTCCTGGTTTGTGTTCAATTTGATAATTGTCTAAGTAGAGGTAAAAAATGGTGGACTCTGAATAAAATCTTCAAACACTAGACTTTGCCACTTGACTGCAAAATTCTAGTATTTCACCTGAAACCTTTCTGTTATTAAAAAATTACTTTCTTATCCAGAAATGTGCTATATTCTTATTTCAGTAGAAATGGGCTTATCTGAATGTTGTGGAATATAAACATTAAACATTTATTTAATGTCAAGGCTGGTTTATCCCCCTGGAAACATTCATTTCTACAAATAAGAGCTCTCTATTTAAACATAACCAAATTGTATATGTGCCATATATAATATATTAAAAAGCTATCATTTTAGTGACACATTAAAAAAAATGAAATCCATAAACTAATATCAAAATTCAAAACTTTAATTTTATGTCAATTCAGAATGACAGTCTAGAAAAATTACTGCAATTAAAACTGTAATTACACTCAAATGCAAGTATGTCACCTTAATTCTGAAAATTTTATTTGCTCTCTCTTCTTAAACTTTATATATTACATTTTAATAGTAAAATTTAGGACATGGATGTATTCCCGGTTATTTTACTAGTGTATTTTAGAAATTGGTTAAAGAGCTCTCTCTAGAACAGTCCAAGCTGCTCGATGATAATGTTTCTGGCTGGAAAAGGGGTGTGAGGGAGTAGGAGAGGTAGGAATGCAAAGAATAGTGAGACCTGTTTTTCAAAATTAAGGATCTAAATTTTAAATGAAAACGATAATAGATTCTGCCGCTTGCACTGACTGTGTTGGGTTAAAAATAATACTGAAACACACAAAAAACTTCATGCTTTTTAACTGTGCAAAACAAAAACCCATTTTCCAGAATTGGACTCTAAACAAGAATACGAATATAAATCAATCAATGTGAATATCCAAAGAGTTCATAATAGGACATTGATTTGATATGAAGCCCCTTTATAAGAAGAAAGTATTTAAAATTGGAACTGTGTTGTAGGAATATTTACTATAAAAAGAGAAAAGACAAATTAAGAAATTTTAAGAAAACTTATATTAGTAAGATACAGTGAATTGCACTAATTATAACCTTTATTACTATTAAATGCAGGCAAATTCATTCATTTATTATTGTTTCCATAAAAACCCTATAATATGTTAGCGGACTCCTACCCATTCTTCAAAGCACAGCTAAAATGTTAACTACTCTGTGAGGCTGGCACTCATATTTCTTCCATTTCCCAAGCAGAACGAATCTCTCTCCATTTTTGCTTACATGGTACCTAGGAGTTAGCTGTTTACAGCATTTCTTATCAGCGATCGTAGTTTTGGGGGTTTCTCTCCTGTTGGAATGGAACTTACAAAAGATTTATTATTTATCTTTCAAACCCCACTCACAATCAAGACATGTTTGTAGACTATGTTTAAGTTAATTGCTAGACTTCATAGGGTCTCATGTGTGGAGTTTCTAAGGTATAGGTGGACATAACAAAACTAAAGCATTTTTATAGTTGCTCTAGGATATCTTTCCTGTTCTTGATAATTGTAGATACACTCTTTTAGGCTTCCATATTATCTGGATGTGCTGTTGTTTATAGGACCATACTATTTAGGTCTGGATGGAAGACTGCATAGCTCTGAACCTACTTTGTTGTGGCCAATTTGCTCTTTTTTTCTCATACATATTTAGTGTCTCATTGTCTTAATATAGATTTCTAGGAACCATTTTTATTAAGTTTGAGAAGAACTGGAAAATAGTACTATATTGAATTGTTCTACTATTTGTTATTTAGGTGACTTTGCTACATTACTGTTGTCCACAGTGCAGAGGGGTACTTGGTAGAGTTCATCTTGAATAGTCCTTCCATTCATATTTTTGTTTGTGCTTATTTCAATGGGTAGCCTTAACTCAAGAGAATACTAAGATGTTTGTTTTGGAAATCTTTCCAGCTCTATTTGTTTTATAATTATTTGATGTTAACAGGCGACACTGCAGAGTGGCTTTCCATGCTCCATCATCTATGCCTTCAACTACGTGTATTCATTTATTCACTTCATTGGTTAATTGATTGACTCAGGCAGTCATTGAGTCATTCATTTAACATTTCATTGAAGGCTAATCACGGGCCAGGCAGTAAAGCAGGCACTGGGGATAGAGAGGTGAAAAGCACAGTGCCTGCAGTCAGTCAGGGGGCTCAAGCAGGGGAGACAGACTGCAGAGCAACCGGCAGTGCTAGTGCTGTGACGGAGGTGTGTACCTCTCCAACAGGGAGAAGATTTCCAGCATGTTGTCTGTACTAACTGTCAATATATGTAAAGAAAACTGTCACCCTGAAAAATCCCAGACTCAAACATATTTGGGAAATAAATTTTAATTCCTTATAAAACAAACACAGAAAGATGTTAACTTAGAACCACATATTTTTTAACAGTTTTGGACAGACACCATTTTGTTATTCCTATTATTCATTTAAGGTCTTCTAGATAGTTTTTAAATGTTCATTTAAGGTCTTCTAGATAGTTTTTAAATGTTCATTTAAGGTGTTTTAGCCAATCTGAAATTATGTTATTACCATATAAATTTTACGGCAGAAGAAAAACAAATGATAACATTTCTTTGGAATTTTAATGTAGAAACTGGATAAGCAAAAGAAATGGTTAGATGAAGAAGTAGAGAAAGTTCTGAACCAACGCCAAGAATTAGAGATGCTGGAAGAAGACTTAAAGAAACGGGAGGCCATAGTTTCTAAGAAGGAGGCCCTGTTACAGGAGAAGAGTCACCTGGAAAATAAGAAGTTGCGATCTAGTCAGGTATGCTATTTAATGTGCTCTCTGATTCTGGTTTTAGCCATATAAACTAGAATTTTTTTCCTCTATGAAGTAAATCATACCCCTGTGAAGTTAGAAACCAAAAGAAAACTGCTGGTTTCCACTGTATTTTGCTTATTAGCACTTATTTAATAACCATTACAAAAATCTATTGCAATTTTGAAGTAAAATGTTCAATGTTCTGCCAAGTATGATTTATTATTAACTTTTTTGTGTTTTAAAAATCATTGTATAACAAATGTAACATAAAATTTACCATTTTGACCATTTTAAAGTATATAATGTATTAATACATTCACAATGAAATGAAGTACATCCATACAATGGAATATTATTCAGCAATAGAAAGAGAAGAAACACTGATACATGAGGCAACATGGATGAACCCTGAAAATGTTAAGTGGAAGAAGCTAGTCACAGTAGGCAATCCCACAGAGACAGAAAGTAGAATAGTGGTTACTCAGGACTGGGTGGGGGCTTGGCAAGGGAATGGAAAGACTGCTAGTGGGCATGGGTTTTTTGTTTGGGGCTGATGAAAATATTCCAGAATTATTTGTGGTGATAGTTGCACAACTCTGCAAATGTACTAAAAACCATTAAATTATACACTTTAAATAGGTGAATTGTATAGTATGTCAATTATATTTCAATAAAGCTATTACTCAAAAAAAACAACAACCTATAAACCCATAACGGGAAAAAACAGTAGGGGAGACAACAGAGGACAAAAGTTACCCAAAAATGTAAGATGGAAAGCAGATAGATGAGTGGTTACTGACACAGCAGAACAGAGGAAGCTGAAATCAAGTGCCTGCAAGAGGGACACCAATGAGAGCCAAGCCTTTAGCTTTACCTTTTTTTTTTTAATAACAGCTTTACAAGAGATAATTCACATCGAACATGAAAAACACTAGAAATGAAGGGACCAAGATTTTCAGAAAGCAAAAGTTGAGGCATAAGGATGAAAACAGGGCATAGTCAGGAAACCATGCTTTTCTCACTCTGGGACTGGCTAGATGGTTTATTTTTGGAAGATTGAACGAGGCACAGCAGAGGGCTGGGGTAAGGCAAAATAATTTAAACAGGGAATAAGTGAAAGTTTACATATGAATCCTGAGATTCATTAGGGTTAGGTCCATTCCCTAACCCTTACTTGGATCCCAGAATGCTAGCAGCCAGATTTATACTTCCCAGCAGGACTTTGGTAGATTTTTCTGAAACAGTCCTGGAAAAAAGACCTTAAAAAACTTAAATTTGATTACACTTTTTGTAGAAAAAAACAAAACAAAACTAATATTTGGGAGCCCCCAACTAAGTGGCCAGATCCCAGATACCCTATTACGACACATCTTACCTACCACACAGCTTATCAGCACTTTAATATCTGACTGTTAAGTATGATAGATATTTCAGGAATGTTACTAATATTAAAGACAGAGACCAAAACAAAAGGGAAAAAGGAAGCTCAGAGAAATCAGAGATAGAGCAAGAAGCTGAAAAAACTTCTTAAAAAACCTTAGTATCCTCAAGGTGGATGATGCTCTATCCATAAAACAAGAACTGCAAGTTACTAAAAACATGAACAAACTCTGGAAATTAAAAGAGTTGGAAGATATCCAACTCTTGTTGAGGAAATATCCCAGAAAGTAAATAAATAGAAACATGGAAGGAAAAAATTTTAATCAGCAGATATATCCAGAAAGCTCATCATCCAAGTAATGGGGATTCCAGAAAGATACAACAAAGAAAACAGGAGAAAAGGAGATTATCAAAGACTTAATACAAAAAATTTGCCAACAGTGAAGAT